ACACACACACACACACACACACACACACACACACACAAAGAAGGTTGAGCCAGTTTTGCCGAACAGTTTGCACAATATGCAAATGCACACACACACACAGACACACTCAGATAAACGTCTGTTCTACTGGTGAGTCCTTTTTCCTGCCAAGTGGTTATCAGCTGATTGGCAGACGAGCTCACTAAAAAGATGGCTGCTCGGAGCAGACAGACGGGACACGCTCTGTCCCACGACACATTGAATCTTAGTTTAAGCACAAAAGCTTTGAATACAGCACGTCGCAGGTATATGTGGAAACTGTCAAGTCATGTCGACTGAGCGTGTTTGCAGTCTGCACACTCCAGCCGACATGTTCCCCTCCGAGAATACCCCAGCGCGTTCTGCCTCTGAATGAGGATTTGACTCAAATCCGTATTTAAATTGTATTGAATCCGCTTTGACTTTAGAAGGGATTAAAAAACAATGTAAACACCGGTCGCAATAGACATCGTCCTCTAAAAGAAAATTTAAAAAATATAATATGATATCAGCAGGTTACATTTCATGACATCGTAGGATTTGTTGCATGGCATGAAATGTTGTTGTTCGTTGTTCGGAGAGTCCTAAACGCAACAGAGGCCGGATTTATGATCATGATAAACCTCTGTCTGCACGTATCCGTCATATCTCAACTGTAAACTTGGAATGTGTGTTGCTAACGAACCAAGGAAATGTTCTGTGGAGAAGACACGAGTCCAGCAGCAGCAAGAAAAAGACCACCGCTCTCGTCTGTTGATATGAAAATGAGATCATCTTTTGCTTTCTTTCCCAGCTCTACTTCCTCATGTTGGTTTTCAAGGGCAACGATAACGAGCTTAATATTTTTCTGTAGCGAAGGACTTGGAGGGCTTAATGATTTTTTAAATTCCACCTTAACTCCTTTTGCAATGACAATCAACTTCACTGGAACATTGTCAGACTTAATCACAGTTTCCCATGAATCAAGTCAGGCAAGTTTTTTTTATGTGCAAAGAGCCGGAGATTCAAAAGGCAAAGCTTCCATTTCATTCAGAGCATCGATTGAAGAAGTCAGGTAGAATATTATCATTAGATATTATTACTCTGTTCTCTCTGCTTTATCTCAGGTGTGTTTTCTACCTCTTTCTCATTGGTTCCCTTGTTTTTTCTTCCATCCTTCCTTCCTTCCTTCCCTCTATCCTTCCTTCACTTCCTCTTTCGTTCTTCCATCCTTCCTTCCTTCTTACTCCCCTCCTTCCTTCCTCGTTCATTCCTTCATGCCTTCTTCCTCCCCTCCCTAATTTTTCCTTACTTTTCATCCCTCCTTGATTCCTTCCTTCCTTGTGCCTTCTTTCATTTATTGTTTTTCGCCCTCCTTGATTCTTTCCTTCACTCCCTAGTTTCTTCCTTCCTTGCTGATCTGATACTCCTCTGTCTCCCTGACACTCTCTGACAGGCCAGGACTAATTTGCAGAAGACTAATCTGGCTGGAACACGCTAAACTAATTAACATGGGATGAAGCGCCCTCACTTATCATTTCACCATATGTACATACATCACACACACACACACACACACACACACACACACACACACACACACACAATGGATGAGACTCTCCAGGGAAAATAAGAAATGATGGGTTTTACTTTGGCGAGGAAATGGGGAAGGAGGCCAGATATAAAAAAAGAAGAAAAAGAGGTAGAGATACTGAGGAAGCTATTTCTGTGAGTCGCTCAGCCAAGTCTGCCTCTACTAACATTAACATACTGAACATCGTGGGCTGCACCCTTGGGCATAAATACATCTAAATGTAGACACGCGTGTGCTTATTTAACGAGGACTGCCACAGATGACATGCTTTGCTCCCCTGGATACAACAAACATTTGCATTTTCTACATAATTTGACTCAGCAGTGTCTCGTAGCGCAAGTCAGGATTCAACTGTGTCAGATTTCTCACAGCAAATAACAAAGGAGATATTAAAAAGACAATCTGCATGTACATTTGAACCATTTATCTCTGAACTGAAAGCATTTCTTCCAATACATCATGCTCAGTGATGCGGTTTAGTATTTTCATTGTTCCTGTGGTATGTTTGTAATGTCGGCTCTTGTGTGTTTGTTGTGTGCTCGTTGAGATGTTGCCTGCTGAGAAGCACGTTCGCTGCACATTGATCTTCTGTCCTTCAGGTTTTGTGAGTTCATGCTTCAAGATAATGTCGCGTGTTTGTGTGCAAGGTCATTAAAACGCGATTAATTCAGTCTCCACGCGACTTTTTTCACTTTTCATTGATTTTTTCTTCATCGAGTACAGTTTGAACTAGAGCAGCCTCATCACCTCTTCCACATAGAGGGTTCCACCCCTCTCCTTGTGTTGGTTTGTTTGAAAGCAAGATTATGCAGATCTACTTTCCTCAAAACTGAGTGGAAGGATGCAGTATGGTTCAGTAAACTGTGGGTGTGGATCCAGATATATTCTTATACTTTCTTAAAATCTTGAGACATTTTCAGTGATTGTCCAGGAAATAGTTCACGGATGTTTATTGAACTGTTGGGAATGTTCTCTACTTTTGCTGTCCTAGTTTTTGTTTGTTTGCAAGATTATGTAAAACCGACTGAGGAGATTTTCTACAAAATTCCATCAATGGAACATGTGCCTAGAAGAACCCATTAATCTTTGGCACTGATTTGCATCAGGGGACATATCCAGGATCTTTTTGTTTCTTTCACATCGGGAGATAGAGGTTTGACATTTTCATAAATTTCCAAGTGAATAATTCCAGAACATTGATGAATAAACCAGACACACATAAGGGACTAATAGACCAATGAGTTTATGTGCAATATGGTGCAGCTTGATTGAATCTAAGTGGACTGCTCGGACTTGGCAGATGTATGTGCTTTACTGAGTGTCATTCTAGTTATTGTATAGATTTACCTCTACACACGTTGCCATTGTCCGGTTCATAACCAGCCTTGCAGCTGCAGCTGCCGATGGGAACCATCCACTCTCCATCTCCGTTACAGTAAAGCTTTATTGGCACGTCCACCTCCTCCGCGTTGGGAATGCAGCTTCCTCTGGCAATGACTAATGAGGTGGACTCTGCTCCAGTCAGTGTCTAAACAAAAGGGTTTATTAACATGTTTTTGATGACAGCTCTTCCAAAGTCTGACGAAAACAGCAACACAGTTTGTAGTTCAACGTGCCTCTACGTACCTCTGGGAAAAAAGCAAAGTTCTGCACCACGCTGGGACATTTCTTGTAGAATACTCTGACAGCCAGAAGGGACATGCAGGCACCCAGATCCTGGAAGGCCAAGTGAAAGCCTCTGCCTTTGGACAGAGGCCCAAAACTCCGCACTTCTGTGTTCACCTTCATTAGCCTCCCTCCGAAATCCACCTGGGAGAAACTCTCATCTGCTGCGATGGTGTCCACCTGGCAGCAACACAAATAGAGAGAGAGGGGGACAGAGGAGGCAGAGGAGAGGAAGGGGGATGAGAGAAAATGAATAAACGGACGAGCTTGTGTGTGTTCTTTTTCTGTCCCTGTTCTTTCTAGAAGGGTGAATATTTGGTGTAGTTTAGGCCGACAGTCTACACAACTGGGGATATGTTTTATATAAGAAAGTCTCTGTACACATGACCTAGGTTTTACAGAATACCTCTGTCCAGAGAAGAACACAAAAACCACCACAGATTTACACCTGCTGGACCAGTAGGTGGCAATAAAGTCTACAACAACCACTTTTCAATTTACCAGAGAAGAACGCTGTGGAACGTTTTATTCAAATAGTCATAAATTGTGACTTCCTAAAGAACCCAAATGATTTAAACAGTTGGAGGAGTGACTCAGCTACACTGACAAAAGTTTGGAGTGTTGCCTCTGGATCACATTTCTGACAACTTTTAATGAGCTAAGAAATACAAACCCCTGTTATCAACTTTGCAACAAATACAATTTCAGACAGTCCAAAGTGTTTATTGAGTTGACAACTTCTTCAACCCAAGTTTGGCGACACAAGAGGAGAGTGACATTTCATAACGAATACGCAGAAGAAACCAGCCTCTGGCCTGAGTTTCTCCAGAGCAGCGACTGATTAGAGTCTGCGTGCTGCAGCACTTAACACTCCTGCTTAGCATACCAAAGTCAGAAGAAGAAAAAAATGTCTGACTCCATTCTGAATCCTCGGCATAACACGGCTCAACAATATCTGCGTCTTTGTGCAGTGTAACTCTGAGATCATCATTAAAATGTACTTTGAAATGATAATTTATATCCAGATTACTGCCAGAACTTGGCTTTCCCCGCCTCGCTCCTCTATTCAAAGGCTGGTACCTTAAGAAAAGGCGCGTTGGCCCAATACTCCACCCCTTTGATGCCCTCGGACACAGCCCTGTCTGTCTCCAGGTAGTAGAGGTTGAACGTCTCTTTGCAGGAGCCCAGGACGCTGGGGATGGAGGCGCAGTCTCGCACGGTGAAGCGGATTTCCACGTAGATGCGCTGTGCCGCCCGCCGGTCGATGTAGGTTGTGAGGAGCCAGTTGTTCTGGCTGGGCTCGAACACGTTGCACACCTGGTACGTCCGGATGGTGTTGAGGTTCTCATCGTAGCCACTCACCTCCTCCCACTGGGGAATGAGTGTGAGTGAGGAAGGGGCAGGGGGGGTGGATGAGAGGGGAGAGGAGAGGCTAAATGATTAATGGGTTTACAGAGAACTGACACAAATTAAACTTTCTCTCTCCCTCGCTCCTGTTTTGTCTCTCTATCCTGCTTGCCTCCCTCATTTCGTTTTTTCCTCTCCTCTACCTTGTTCTGTGCTGCAAAGGGACAACCATTCATCACAATTAGAGCCACTCATCTCAGACACACACACAGAGAAAGAGAGCCAGCATTTAAGAACTCTGAGGAGTTCCCTCGGCTGGAACAACCTATTCGGTTTTATTCAATTATAGTGTAGTCAATTTATTCTGATCTATTCGTGTGTCTATTGCGAGTTGTTGTGCGCGCCACACCTCTCTGATCTATCGGAATCCGTTCTATTCTACATCAGTGTTGGTTAATTGGTGTCACCTTGCATCTGTAATTAAGATTTTGACAGATCTGTTGTTAAAGTGTACTCGAACTGCTTTCCCCCAGGGTACACACACACACACACACACACACACACACACACACACACANACACACACACACACACACACACACACACACACACACACATACAGTACTTTTGCACATTGTTCTTACTCCATTGGCAGGGAACGATATCCAGCCGAGCTCAGCTGTCGCCGTCCTCGTATCCATCACTGTCTCTGTCAGACAAAAAGAGAGACAGGCAGAGAGAGAGAGGTGAACACAGGGAGAGGACAGGTGAGTTTAATTATGAGTCGGCTCTAAGAGGAAGCTGCACAGTGATGCATGTCATTCGAATTCAGAAAATCCCCCTTCACACCTTCTTCTGCGAAGCGTCTCCTTTCCTTCTTCTTCCCACATACACACAGTAAATAAAAGACATGAGTGGGCCTCAAATAACAACCAGGCCTGTGGCTATGCTAATACTGTATAAACAAAAAGATATGACACAATGACAACAGAGCTAATCCAGGTAGAATAAATGTCATCGTTTTACCTTTGATTTGACTGTCATCTACAAACATTTTATCCATACAACAGGAAAATAGTATGTGTAGAAATGCCCGGTCTAACGTATCTATCGGGAAAAAGTTTCATATACTACGATTAAAGACAAGTTTGGAGTAATGGCTGCAGGTGTTGTGCCGAACAATGATTGTCTGCCGCCCTAAATATATTCAAACTGGTAAAAAGCACCGGCTACAATCTAGGGCACAAAGTAAAAGTCATAAATGCAAATAGTTAATTGTGTTATTTATTCTAACTTCCAAATATAGAAAAGCCTACAAGACGTCACTTATTACAATCCAAACTGCAAATGTGATTATTCGGATACAAATAAACTTTCACTTACAATGTACATGAGGTGTGAGTGCAATTATAATCCATATTGTACAATAACACAAAACATACCGTGAAAGGCGTTTTTTTTTTTTTTTATACAATCCCTCACTCCCTAAATGCGCGTCCTGAATTTCCGCGTGGTGAGACTTATTATAACGACTCTTATCTGAAATAAGCAGGCTGATCACATTGCAGGTAATTTAATGAGTTACTGCATAGCATCGTCAGAGAGCATAAATTAAAGAGTAATTACACACAGGTGAAATCAGTCAGCAGCAGCAGCAAATAGCGTTTAATTGACGACTCTGTTACGCGAGTGTGTGCGGGTATCACCCGGCTGTTGTTGGTGCCACTACGACTTCATGTCCCCGCTTGAACCTACAGCTCTGTCTGCCGCTCTAATCTCACATACTTACCCCACATACATTGATTTGATCACAGCTGGATGACGCACTGTCACAGCGCCGAACATCAGAAGGATAATCATACCTGCTCAGATGGGAACAAAGCTAAGTGGAAGATGAGAAGCAGGCCCATGTGACAACTCTACAACAAAGTGGCTTGACAGCAAAATCCCACATGACAACTTTCATTGTGAAACGTGTCTCTTCATATTATAGATCCTCCCGTGTTAATGGTGATATATTTTTATGTCAGCGGCCCTAACAACTATTTTCAGCATCTCTCTGTCTGGCATGTACAAAGCCTGACGGGCTGGTAAATTGGAAAAATGAGACATTTGTAATAGAGGGAGATAAATTAATTGCGTGAACGTGTCCATACATGGTAATGCAGCGAGCCAGAGGAAAACAGCATGCGATTAAAGATTTGGGGTTGTGAAGTCAAAGAATGGAAAACGCTTATTTTTAATTACTGTCATAGAGCAGAAAGGGGAGCAAACAATCTGATAAAAGTCAGAAAATTTGCACAAATGCTAATTCCACTGAGACAAAAGAACCCACCTCATGAAAAAATTATTAAGTTATTCAAGCAACAGTAACTGCTGTGTTGCTCTCAACAGTCACAATTAGAGAAGACAAGTCAAAATGGTTTTTTGAACCACAGCAAGACCTAAAAAATATAATTGCAGCCGCCAGGAGCTATGTTCCTTTGTTTCTAAGTAAGATTACACAAAAACAACTAAATGGATTTCCACAAAACTGGAATCCAAAAAAGAACCCATCCCATTTTGATGCAGATCAGGTTCTTTCTTTAAAAAACCCACGCACATTAAGCGAACTACTATCTAATGGAGATATTTTGCCAAATGTAGTTGTAAAACTTAATGTAAAAACTTAAATGTAAAGTTAAAATATGGTGAGATGAGGCGCTTTGAGTGGTCATCAAGACTAGAAGAGTGATATATAAATACAGACTCTTTATTTATTACTTAGGGCCTCGGGGGAGGTTTGCGCTCCCTCTGCCATTCTCGTTTCTGTCTTATTTTTCGTGGCTCCATCGTGGACACGGTGCTAAAAGCCACCTGTGCTCCTTTAATGAACTTTCAATAACACCACTTTGCTCTGCTGTCGGTGAACTATGGTCAATTAACAGCGACACAATTCATCTGTAGACGAGCGTCCACGGACGTACGTCACTTGACATGCTGACAACACAGACCTTAACATAGAGCCACTGTAATAAAACATCACACCATGAAGCAGCCGCAGGCTAAAACCCCACCCCCACCCCCCGATTCTTGACATGCTCTTGCACTCTTTCATTCTGTCACCCTGCCTCTCATTATCTGCTCTCCTCCTCCTCCTACTCATCACACCCTCCCCACCTTCATCCTCTCCTTCCCTCTACCTCCCCGTCTTTAATCCTCCTCCTCCTCCACCTGGAGTGCTTCTTTTTTCGTCGGCGAGCTAGCCTAATTACAGCCAAACCCAGTTTCTCAGCTCTCCCCTGGGAGTGAAGGTCGTTTGGGAAAATGAAACGCTCGTCGAGCAAAAAATGTAGCCGACTATCAAAATCTCGGACCAAAGATTATTTAAGCGGTGACAACCGTCACTATTTGTAGCTTCTGCAAACAGATTTTCAAACGCTGACACCGAAGCAGAAGATGGAGCTGGTTCATTTCTACCTTGTATATTTATATGTGGAGGTCTTTGAAGTTTGGGGGAAAAAAAGGAAAAGCACAGTAATAAATCCCCGGTGTTGGTAGAGGAGGTGTTTGAACAGCTCGTGTAGTTTCACATGTTTCACCTTCCAGCAAGGGCTCGCAAGAGAGGACTCGAGAGAACAATGGCTGCGCACTGTCATACTCCATCCTGCCACCATCTTTCTCCGTCAGTACACCGCGTCACAGGCTCACACTTTGTCTCACAATTTACAAACTTGGCTGGTAAATTTTTGTTCATTGGAAATTGATTGCACCATCATACGCAGGAACTCTTGGGAGACCTCAGTGATTCATCATCTCATGTTATTAAATCTCGAGCACAGCTTGAGCAATGTGGGTGTAAATATTAAACCATGACGCCAAATGTCTTTCTTTTTTTTTTTTAATACGACCAACTTCTAAATTTGTACTGAGTGAATATTAATATGAATATGAACAAGTATTTTCAATCAATGAATGTTTTAGTCAGAAAAAATTGTGGAATTTTTCATCAGTATTTTAGCTTGGCGGCCCCCACCCTCTGGAATGCTCCGCTAATAGAGATTCACAAATTCAAATTACTACTTTAAAAATGCTTATGACCCCATCTGATGTAATCTGCACTTTTCTCTGTCTCCTAAAATATGTCCTCCTTCAAATATGTTAAGTGTCCTTGGGTCCCTTGAAAGGCAGTATAAAAATGTAAGTTATTATAATTAATTAATAATTTAACAAACTGCTTATTTTGTAAAATCTAATTAAAAAATACTCACATCTGAAAAGCTGGCACTATTGAATTCTGCATTTTTGGCAAAAAAATGAGTGAAAGAAGAAATTGATGATTAAAAAATGTCCAGATATTTTTTAAATCACCTCATCCACCAATGAGCTTTTGATGAACAGTCGTCTTCATCGATTTGTGCACATTTCTGATCCACAATGCGTCGAGCAAAGCAGCAAACTTACATTCCTCAATATAAAAGGTAGAAGAAGTCTAATGAGAGTAAAAGCAGTCGTGTGGCTGCGTTGGGCTTATTAGAGTCGACTCATCAGTCTAATTAACAGCACAGAGCGTGCACACCTCTCCGTGCATAATAGGGTATACTCTCCGATCAGCCTAATTACTTTTGACATATTGGAGGCTGTGATCGTTTGCAATGTGGGGCCGCTGCCCCCACAGCGGTGCACCTCCTCAACCGGTGCAACACAACGAAATGAAAAAAGAAGCAGTTTTATAGCCGAGGAAACAGCAGGTAAATCTGCAATATTTCACAGCAGTCAAACCGGCTGTTAAAGCATTGTTGTGGCCCACGAGAGAGAAATAAAAGTATTTTCATCACACTGATTTAGAAGAAATTTCACCGTTTCAGTGCCTCCTCCTCTTTTTACCTGTTTTTATAAGTGTGATGTATGTAAGTGGTCAAACACCCAGTGAGCTTGGTTCTTCTTACCCTAATTATCCAGTGTGGTCGAACCAGATTAGTCTACTGCTCCAATACTGTAAGTTACGAATGTTGTTATATCTGTGTGTGTGTGTGTGTGTGTGTGTGTGTGTGTGTGTGTGTGTGTGTGTGTGTGTGTGTGTTCTATATTGTACGTGCCTCTTAGAGAAAGACAGTACGCCTGGGAGCATCACACTCATGGTTAAGGAAGCACACAGAAATAACACGCACACACTCACACAAGCCAAACATACACTAAAAGGCCTCCCGGAGTGAAAGACGTCATACCGCCCGCAGAGACCGTCATTGACCAATCAGCCGCTGGAGTGGAATGACACTTTGCCGCCGCATCACGAAAGGACAACTCAGTCGAGAGCGCACGCATTCAGCCACAGATGTGCACCTGCAAAAATCAAATTAGTTGGCTGCACAGATGTGTACTCTCTCAAAAACACACACTCGGCAGGACTCACGCAGAGCAGCTTTTCTTTTAATCCAACCTCACATGCCCCCAAATCAATTATGGAGACAATTATCAGGCAGCGCAAACTGCTCGGAAAACCTGAAGGAGAAAAAAAGACAGAAACTCCACATGAAACGAGAAACCTGGGACATTTAATATTTTTGAATTTTGCAAAATAAAACATCTGAAGACTCAGATGTGGAGAAGTGTGAAGTACTTTAAATGACTTCAATCACATGTGAGAGGTTTTAATGTTTCTTGTTAGAGTTTAAATACATTTGTCAGATAATTTCAGTAACAAGCCACTACAGTATATACACACG